GAAAGAAAGGAAAAAGAGAGAGAGCAAATTGTTACAGCAGAACTAAAGAATGAGGGCTGTAAAGAATGCCTGAGTATTGATGTTAACAGCTTATGGCCAGGTATGAAACAGGAAGGCTGATCTATCAATAGTACATCCCTCTCCTGCCCTCCCTGCCTCTAGATCAGTCTTCAGAGCTGGGGCAGGAAGGAAACCTGGCATTTGAGTTAGGAATGCAGGTGTATTGAAAGAGGATGCTCAGCCTGAGGGCCTGGGTCTCCCTCCAGAGACTCATGGCAAGCATGCAGACACCTTGCGGTGGCTTTGCACATGTACGATTTGGGGAGGGCACCTATTCCCGTGAGGCCTGCATGTAAAGCCTCTGAAATTGCCTGTATTGGGCCTGCCAGATGACATGTAGGTTTTGGTGAGGAGGCAAGCTCCTCACCTGTCAGCTTCACTTTCTTACCTATGACCCCAAACCTAATTGGATGTCAGTAGAGATTTAAAACACCACACAAAGGAATTTCAGATGCAGACATTTTAGAATGTCTTCTTGATGATGAGCCTGTATCCTAAATACTTTTCTCATCAACTTAACTTTTCTCACATGTACCTTGTGAGGAATAGATGTGCAGTAAGGGTTTCCCATATGATCACGATCTATATGACTGTTTTCATTTCCTTCCCTCTATACTACTTCTGAGGCACTAAATTTGGTCTGTGGTGTTAGCACTGGGAATAAAGACGCCTGTTTCTTTCCAACCACTTATTCTGACATTGTGATCATCATTCCTTGAGAGACCAAATCATCAAATAAAACCTAATGAGGAAATCAACATCCTTTGCTGAGGAAGTGTGCCAGGCGTATCCCACACGGTGTTAAGAGGAGTCCCCAAAAAAGCTGACTTATTCTAAGCTAGCGTGGCCTGGCGCTCTGGGGTCTATGGGAAGTAGGCCATCCCGGGGCACATCCATTGACCTGTTTTAGGATTGGCCTCACTTGTTTTCATTCGTGATCGAGTTTAGCCAAGTTACTTTTGCTTTCCTTTTTGATAAATAGTAAAGATTGGGAGGCTGGTCCAAGGTTACCTTGGCCAGGGTTAGAATTCTCATGTGCTGGAATTTTCCTTTACTTTAAAGGGACAGCACCTCTTAGCAGGTGTTTCTTGCTTATTTCACAATCTGACAAACTCAAGGGCATGAAATGTGTATTATCTCTTAGTGCCTAGCAGAAAGCCTGGCCAAGAAATTGTAAATGCTAAATAAATATTTGCTGAATGAAGACTTTAAATTCTCCAGGATGGCCTACACATTCAGGGTTAAATCTGCCAGCTTGACTGTCTTGGTCTTGCAGGCTCTCAAGGTAGCACAGCAGTGATTAGGTGGGCACGCCCACAGTTAAGATGCCTGGGTTCCAATGCTGCCCTTGCTACTTACTGATAAGCCCTTGGTCAAATTGCTTCGTTTCCGCCCTCTATAAATTGGGGCTACCGTGTAAGGTTGATAAGAGGATTACATAAGTTAATTAGAAACCACGTAGAATAGACAGGGCATGAAGTTGAACATTAAATGTATTGATAGTTTCCCTGATTCTACTATTTTCTTTTTTTAAAAAGATTTATTTATTTATGCATACAAGAGCTGGGGTATAGGCCAGAGGTGCCTGGGGCAGGGGTGAGAGGATTCAGCAGAGACAGAGTGGGGAGCGGAACAGACCATCTACTGAAATACACTGTTGAGGGGGTCTTGGGTGAGGCAGGAGAGGTCTGCTGCGTCATGTGGATCAGCTCCCTGGCGGGGAATCAAACTCGTGCTGCAGTGGCTGTGGATAGCTTCATAGTGCTGTGTCTTAACCCCTTGCGCCACTAGGGAGGCCCTGGCTCTACTGTTTTCAATGACAACAAGCTGATGGATCTCTAGAATAACCTACTATTGTTCTATAATTCTTTAATTGATCAGATGACTTTTGTGTTTCCTTTCATTGCCCCTATGGGGGAGGAGAGGGAACTGGAGTTCAGACTGGGGAAATGGTAGCTAACTAGCTGATTCCTGAGAAGGTATGGCCTAGACTACATGAAACCCAGAGAGGAAGGGTAGGTGTTGGAGGTAGAGTGGGAGGGGGAATTCTGAGTGGAATGAACTATGACTATGTTTTGTGAAAAAATAATGTCTTAGTCATAGTTTACCATCATAGTTTACCTTGTAAGTTTCACATGCTGAAAAATGGGTTGCTCAACAACCATACCACCTCTAAAGATAGTGCAAGGTGTCAACTCAGAATTTTCTGGAATTTGGAAGAATGCCTCTCTCCAATGAGTAGTAAACTCGATGGCCTATGCCTCATAGGTAAACTTCTATGTTTCTATTAGTGACGTGATAGGTTTTGGGAAGAGAACAAATTATTTAAAATTTTTAGTGGTTAAATTTAAGGATATGAATATATTTATTTATTTTTAAAGATTTTATTTATTTATTTATACAAGCACTGGATACAGTCAGAAGTGCGGGAGGATGAGAGAATTCACCAGAGCCAGAGTGGGGAGCAGAGCAGGCAGAAGGACCGAAGTACACTGCTGAGGGGAGCAGCGGGCGGCAGGAGAGGACTGCACGCCATGTGGGACCCTCGCCAGCGGCCGGGGATGGAACCAGCGCTGCAGAGGCTGTGGGCAGCTTCGCAACCCAGCATTCAATGGCTGCGCCACCGGGAGGCCCTATGAATGTATTTATTAGAGTGGCTCTGAATCTAGACTATCTCTTCCATGTTTTTATTGAATAAATCAAACCATTGTTTTGATTCCATTTTTTTCCAAGAATTTCTTGCTCCCTGAGTCTCCAGGGGGTCAATACTTTATTGAACTTCACTTAATAAAAATTTGTCTTGCCACGCATTGCTTTATGTATTTTTAAAATATAAATGTATTTTATTCTTATAACAATCTGCAGAGTAAATATTATCCTCACTTTGCAGAGGAGGAAAATGAGTCAGTTGGTTAAATAATTTACTCAAGGTGACTAATTTGCTCATTGATAGATCAGGATTTGAACTGGAGTGAACTCAACCCCATTTTTGCTCTATCACCATCCATTGTGTGGATGTGTAGATATACCCCATGTTTTTGATCCCATCTCTATCAGCAGGCACTTAGGTTGCTGCCAAGTCCTAGCTAGCTATTGTGAATAATGCAGCAATAAACATGGTGGAACATATAATAGTTGAAATTGATGGTTTCATGTTCTTCCCATAGATGCCCAAGAGTGGGATTGCTGGGCCATATGGTATTTCCATTTTTAGCATTTAAATGTAAGTCCAGATCATTTTCCAAAATGGTTGTACCAGTACACGTTCCTACCAAAATGTGGTAGAATTATTCTTTCCCCACTGGTTCAACTGTTGCCACCTTTCAGTTTTACTCTATGCTAGAGGGCAGTTGAGGGAACAGGATGAGATTAAAAGAGAAGTTCAAATAAAATAAAAAGAACATTTGCATAGTTTGAACATGAGCAATAAACCCAGAAATTACTTCACTAAATTTCTCATATAAAGAGTTTTGAAAATCCCTTTCAAAGGTTGATCAATAAAGTACTGAAGTAAAACAGAAAGCTGGAATCTGTCCATGAAGAGCAGACTTTTAATACTAAATCATTAATTTTGTATCAGCCTGGGTTGAGACAAGAGTGATGAATCAGACCACAGGTGATATGCACAAGGAAGACAAATCTGATTTGCTCGTCCAGTGTCTCAAGTTCAAGACAAGGGACAGAAAGCCATGGAGGTGGAGGGGGAGCAGGGCACAGGGAAGACAAGGTGATTGTGCAGGTACAGAACAAGATTTGGATGCGTACTGCCCCCATCCAGTATCCCAGTGTAGTCTAACTCATTAAGATTTACAAAGGATAGACGCTCTCAACAGACACCACTTAGACCTATTATTTCTCAGTCCTTTCCAACCACGTTTGCACCAGCAAGAGCTTTGGAGGCAAATGTTCAAAACAGAGATGGAATGACATTAACTGGAAACAGGAGCTGCTATTCCAAATGGTGCTTTTTGACTATTTTAAGATCTGATAAAAAGTCAGAACATATTAGGGTGATTAGAATGGGCTTGATTTTCTCAACCCATTACAGTACTGTAGCTTTATTATATATTTTTTAAAGATTTACTTATTTATGCATACAAGAACTGGGGTACAGGCCAGAGGTGCGGGGGGGTGAGAGGAGACTCACCAGAGACAGAGCAGGGAACAGAACAAGCAGACTGACTGAAATACACTGCTGAGGGGAGTAGCGGGAGACAGGAGAGGCCTGCTGTGCCATGTGGGTAGATCCCTGCCCTGGGATTGAACTCCTGCTGCAGTGGCTGCGGACAGCTTCCTAGGTTGTGTCTTAACCCCTTGAGCCACCTGGGAGGCCCTGGTACTGTAGCTTTAAAGGGTCTTAACAAAGCTTTCATGTAGCCCTACTTCTTCAAAACAGGAGACCCTTATTACCAATTACAATTTTGTTTCCTGACTTAAAAATAGTGTATATTCATTATAGGAATTAGAAAAAAAAATTTTATTTATGTTATTATGTGGTTTTCTAAGTATATAAAATAAAAAGGAAACCTCCTCCCTTGTCACAACCCCATCTCACAGAGGTGACATCAGTGCTTTGTTAAATATACCCCTGGTTATTTCTGTCCCCTGCCCCAGCCATCAGTTCTATTTAAAATTTGCGGTGGGAAATGTACCCTTTCAGCAAGACCCTTTATACTTATTCACCACTACTCCACAAAGCAAGGAAACAATCAAAAATGTGGTCATATTTAGGGTTGTGACCCTGGCCTCAGTGTCGTTTTAGGAACTTGCTGGAAGAACCTAGGAATAGGAGATCTCCTTATTCTATTTGGTAATTTGCTACCATTTCAAAATATGTGATAATGAGGGGTCCTGTTGCATCCATCCTCTCTGGCTTGCCCCAAATGAAGATCTTGGTAAAAGTATCTTAACTTCTGATTAGCAGCTTAACATCAGAAACAGCAACAAAAGAAACTTGAACATGTTGGTAATTTTATATTTAATATCTAGAAATCAAAAACTCTTAACAAATTTTTAAAAATGGTCACACAGGAACAGGCCTTAAGATACTATTACATGCTTCAATTACTTAGAAAAAGTTATAGGCTTAGTCAAAACAAATAGTTGTCATTTATGAATTTCCACCTTTGACAAAAGAATCCTAAGAGACCTCAGCCCTAGAGCAGTGATGGCGCAGCCCCTCCCAGTGAGAACCTTGTAGCCAGGCCTCCCTGGCTGGGGGCCAGCTGCCTCCCTCTTGCCTGGTGCTTCTCTGTGCACTGGAGCAGGTGAAGATGGGTGATTTCTGAAGTCCTGTGTGCCACACTCCTCCTTACATGGCACTCTATAACATGATCATTTCCCTTTGATTGGAAAGTTGAAGAGAAAATAACAAGCTCAAAATTTTTACTACAAAGAGTACTATGGTTTCTACTGTGACTCTCACCATCTTCAGAGATGACGCCATTTCTGGAATTTCTGATTTGGTTCACTCTCTTCATGATTCCTGCCTTGAGGGCAGCCTGTGTGTGCACCAGTACCCATGCAGAAAGCTGGCTGGCCATCCTTTATTCTGAGGCCTTGGCCTATGGCTTTGCCTTCATCACCTAGGCAGTGCACAGTCTCTGTGCAGAAGTGCTCAGCTGGTTGATTCATTGTTTCTTCCTTACACCTCACTGTTTATTATGAAAGTTGAATTTTAGTATGTTCCTAAAGAGTTTCTTCAGTTCATCTTGCTCTGTTTGCCCAGTAGTTTGAGGTTTTCACCTAACTGCATCTTCAGATGTTTTGCTGGTATGTGATGCTCAACAGTCTGGCTCAGGGACCAATGCCAGAGGGCCTGTGCTGGAGGATCAGCTGCATTTCAGTACCTCATTGTTGCAACCCTGGCCCTCTATAAAGGTGGCACTTAGCCTATAAGGTTGCATGGCTCACATGGTTTCTCAAGTAAGTAGTTTGGTTTTCAATATCAAACATGTTTGTTTACTGTTGTTGTTTTTTTTTTTTTTTTACAACAAAGACATACTCAGGACAAATAGCACAATACCACGACTCAGGTTAACAGTTAATTTATCTCGATACCAAAATGAAAATCAAGGTCTTCAAGCTTTTATCTATGCCCGCGGGTCCCCGATTTCCCGGATTCATGTCTAGAGTTTGACAAAACCAAAATTGAATACTCTTAAATCCCCTATCTGTATCATTGAAATCTATGTTTAGCTTCTTCATAATTATTGAACATTCACAGCGTAACATCACTAAAACGTGCTAATTATGAGAAATATTAATTTATAATCATTTCTTCTCATAATGATTGTACCATTATTCATTTTTCTTTATTCCTAATTAAAGTCATTTTCAACTACCTGATTTTAAGTTTGAGGTAGCTTCAGAGTAGTTCTATTGCTGTGAAAGTGGCATGTTTCAAAGGACCATTGAGAATATTAGATAAGATTTAAAATAAGAGTGGAAAGAAAATAGTTATCAGTTATACCATTTCCTTACTTGGCAAACAAATTAAAAAAAAATCCATTTCTTTAATGATAAAAATACAGTTCTTTTGTGAGCATGGACACAATACATGGAATCTGCTTCTTTGCATGAAAAGTGGAGTTCAAGGAAAAGGACTCATATTCTCTCGCTACCTTTTGGTTAACCCGAGTAAGAATGTGCATGAGTTCAAGTTTGTGAGCGTACAGTTTCAGCATTGCACAAAGTGACTGGATGAACCAGGACCCATCCTTTGAATTTCGCCAGGAGTAGTAACCTACAAGGCAAATATAATCAAACAACATAGATATTTAGCTGATTCTATAAATTACACATAATCATAATGAAGGTAAAAACAAGTGTTAGCTTTTCCAGGTATTATTAGCCACAAAAACAGGCAAATGACAACTTCGGTTTCATGGAAAATGATACTGGGTGGGAGAAGAAATACTGAGTGTATTTGTAAATGTAACACTGCTTAAAATACACCTAACCTTTATTTCCAAGCTCATGACACCCCAAGTTGAATGATCAATAAATGGTTATACAATGACATGTGCAACACAGCCACAGAAACAGCACGGCTAACAACCTCTTCATTTCTCATTTTGTTTCTTTATGTCTTTCCCTCATGCCACTTCTATACTTTCCTCTACTATTCATGTTTATCTTACTTTCCTATCTTCTAAAGAAATCTTGGAAAAACTACCTCTCTCCTAAATTGTAGGTGAATTCTGACTTGGCGGCATAACTGCAGCATAGTAAACTATCTGGTACTAAGTTCATGAACAACGCTGTAAGAATGCTCCTTACCTATATACATGTTTTCTAGCTACACTTGGCTAAAGACAACTTTTGGAGACTTCTCAATGGTTGAGGTATCATAAATTAGCTGTTAGCTGCTTTACAGATACACTGGAATTGTGACAGCCTTTGGATACACTCCTCATTGTAACTATCTTACCAGGCGCTGTAGAGTATGCATACAAGAAGTCTGCTTCAACTGGTATTTTGTGACATGCCATGTCATCATCAGTACCACTGTCAGTCTCAATACCAGAGTCCAGATCTGTACCTCGGCAAGCCTAGAAGTAAGAAAATAAACATTTATTTAAAAAAAAAAAGTGGACCTCCTCTGGTGGCGCAGTGGTTGAACGCTGGGCTGCGAAGCTGCCCGCAGCCTCTGCAGCACCGGTTCGATCCCCAGCCACCGGTGAAGGTCCCACATGGCACGCAGACCTCTCCTGTCGCGCCTGCTGCTCCCCTCAGCAGTGTACTTCGGTCCTTCTGCCTGTTCTGCTCCCCGCTCTGGCTCTGGTGAATTCTCTCACCCTCCCGTGCTTCTGACTGTACCCAGTGCTTATATAAATAAATAAATAAATCTTAAAAAAAAGAAAGCTATATATGCACATAACTGTTATTTCTAAGAAATGTGAAGACAGTGTAAAAATTGATGTTAATCATGCAAAATCTTTTGGCTAAAAGTCTAAAATTAAATTTTGCTCCAAAGCGGTAGTTTAAATGAATAAAAATTTAACTTAGTTCAATAGCAGTTTTAGGGAAAAAAGCCAATCCCTTGGATAATCCTCAATGGCCACACTGCTTTATTACCTCAACAGCCAACTGTGCATTACCTGAATAATGAAAAGCTTGGGTTTTCCGGTTAGACTTCTACAGTTTTCCCCTTTGAAATAACCTGTCAGTATTTTCAGGTCAATAGGGCCATCTGTTCCATAGATTATTCCTTCGTCACCATGGCTCAGAAGCACACAAACAAAACTGCTCCTCTTGCTGTGATCTTCTTTAGAAACTGGAAAGATATTTACAAATAGGATAAAATAAATAAAACCTCTGCAATGTCATTCAACAATCTCATATATACTGTATGGGAATAAGATGAAGAAATGTTGAGAGTAGAACTAAGAGCATTTAAACTCAACTTAGGCCATAAAAAAATCCCTCTGGTGATTTTAGGGATTTGGCATTAGTCACTTTTATCATGTTTTATTATTGCATGTGTAATTATGATCAGACTGTAAAATTGAGACAATGAAGGTCATTCTTTTAGTGGTTTCTTACCATCGTACATCAATTCTTTAATTTCTTTACATGTAAGATCATTTTTATTCTGGACTTCATATTTCAAGTTCAGGAATGTTTCCCTGAGCTTTGCTGCATCTTCATCTGTACCAGACCGACATGCCATTCCTTGGAACAGAAAGAATTACTTTTACTTGCATTTAAAAAAAACACTCTGAAATGAATTGAACTACTCAGTGAAGTCACAAAATCCACAATAAATTCTTCTTTTCAAATGCTAAGAAAATTCAAATATTCTGACTATGGTGATACAAAGTTGTCTTTAATTTCTTTGCATGTAAGACATTTCATAACAGAAGCTGTATTACAGTCACAAGGGTATCTTTCACAACTGCTTAGACAGTGAAAATAGAAACAACTTAAATACCTAATGTGATCTAAAATGGGGGCTTAATTAAATTATTCATTTATATAGTGAAATATAGGTTGCCATTCAAATTTTTATAGACAGAATTTTGCTATGGGAAAATAGTCATTATTTTATTTTATTTTATTTTTTTAAAGATTTATTTATTTATTTATACAAGCACTGGGTACAGTCAGAAGCGTGGGAGGGTGAGAGAATTCACCAGAGCCAGAGCAGGGAGCAGAGCAGACACAGGGACCAAAGTACACTGCTGAGGGGAGCAGCGGGCGGCAGGAGAGGTCTGTGAGCCATGCGGGACCCTCCTCCGGTGGCTGGGGAGCAGCCGGGGATTGAACCGGCGCTGCAGAGGCTGCGGGCAGCTTCGCAACCCAGCGGTCAACGGGGGGGGGGGGCCGAAAATAGTCATTATTTTAAAAAGAACTAGAAAACAATATTATCCCACTTTTGTTCATATGTAACAAAACACACATTTCATGAACCAAAAATAACTATTTTTTTGATTTTTAACTTTCCAACAATTGTAAGATAGACGACTACTTTTTCATAGTACCATTAAAACCACAAACCACAACCACATGAATACTGTCCACCAGGCATTTGGCTACGGCAAATCTCCTTTAACCCTTCCAGACACCACCAGAGTGGTCATAACTGGCTATATTTGTGCAGATGTGGGATACTGAGCACAGAGGAGTTCAGGAGCTGGTCCAAGGCAGCGAGTATTAGATCTGCATACTTCCTTCCAGTACCTTCTAATAAATGTACAGATTGATTGCATGAGGCACTTAGATTTTAAAATGCTTAAGTACTAGAGGTAATACACCTTAGAGCTGAGTGAAAATTGTATGTGTGAACAGGAAAAAAAAAGGATACATGTCTGTTCTCTCCAAAATATGGTTATCTCTGGGTAGTGTAATCTTGAGTGATTTTAATTCTCTTCTTTTTGTGAATCTGTAATCTCTGAAATTTCTATTATTAATATATTTCATTTTTATAAAATTAAGAGCATCAAGATTTTAATATTAGAAAAGTTGAGGACAGACATCATGTAGCTGTTTGACAAGGTGACTGAATTCTGGTTTTGTTTGAACCACGGAAAACACCAGGCTGTTAGGATTATGAGGATCTGATCTTCAAGTTTCAAAATAGAAAAAGTGTTCACTGATGCCAGACTACTGCCTAAGTATTTTTTTGAGGAAAAGAGTGAAATGACATGCATTTCTTTAAAAAAAAGAATAGATTGATCCGTATAAAATTCTATAGGAAAAAGGCAGGCAACTACAGCTATAGTGTGAGGCAGATTATTCTAATAGTTGAACGTGGTATGTCAGCTTATAGATAAAAGCAATGAAAATGGTGCCTTCAGGGCCTCCCCAGTGGCTCAGTAGGTTGAGCACAGCGCTGTGAAGCTGTCCGCAGCCTCTGCAGCGTGGGTTTGATCCCAGGCTGGCCAGGGAGAATCCCACATGGCGTGGCAGACCTCTCCTGTCTCCCTGCTGATCCTACCCCAGCTCTTATATAAATAAATAAATAAAAATCTTAAAAAAAAAAAAGAAAAGAAAATGGTGCCTTCAGACTTAGGTATACATTATCAATCTCTGTTTCCTCATTCCTTATAACAGCAAAATCTTTCCAGTGTAATCTGGAATCCATTTCACCACTCCTCTGGCAGATAGCCTACTTAGGTTGGATTGTTTGCGTCTAGTTTCTGTAATTAAAAGTTAATTCTAACATGATTAATGTATCAACTTAAAGATATATCAAATCATCACAGCATAAATTTAAAAATGAAAAGCACAGAACAGCCAAGACATTCATTCATATGGTAAATTATGCAAATTAAGAGAACATCTATTTAGAGTGGTGTATTATAGTCATTAAATTAACATGAAAATTACACAGCATGTATATAAGAAATACATATAGGAGAAATGCTTACCTTACGGTAAGCTGAACAAGTAAGGCTACAATATCACTGGCATGTTATGAAAATTACGCTTTAAAAGAAACTGTCTAAACATCAAGAAATACATTAAAATGTTAACTAGCTTTTCAAAATTTTGAGGGATTTTTTCTTTACATGCTCAAAAAAAAAACACCAAAACTCTCCAAAATGCATTACATCCAAATGGTAATAGTTTAAATAGTTTAGAGACTAAGAAGAGGATTTAGTGACCAGGTGAATCTAGGGGAGGAGTTTCAGTAGGGTGGTAGAGGTAGAAAACAGTACCCACCCCCCAAGAGGGTGGGAAGAAGTAAAAATGGTAACTTAAAGTATAAAAGTGTCTACATTTAGGGAAGGAGACAAAAATCAGATCAAAGCTTAAGAGGAGACTGAGTGAATGAAAGGAGTCCCTAAAAGGGCAGCCTGTCTTTTATAGGGTCAGAGAAATAATCAAATAGAGCAATAACCTCACAAGGAAGTAAAGTAGCACAGGAGGTAGATTCAGAGCCTGGGGTGAGGTCAGGCACACCATGGACTAAATCCCAGCTTTGCAACTAATTCACTGTGTGACTATGCAGGGATTTTAATCTTTCAGGATCTGCTAGTGATTACTTTTCAGGTTTGTTGTAAAAATTAAAGGAGATAATACCTATGATGAGCCTTGCAGGTTCTTGGAAGGGAAAAATACTACGTACTACTTATTAAGAACCTACCATTAGCATAAAAGGGAGTAGGAAGATAAAGAAGCAAGGGTTAAAGAGAAGTCAGGGCAGAAGAGGCCCCCACTGGAGGCTGGTTACTGGGAGAGAGTGCTGAGAATGGGCAGAAGAGTTAAGAGTCCACATTGTATTAGAAGATCTGCTCTCTCTCTTCATCATTCTGTGTCATAGTTTACTGAATAATCATATCAACACTATTTGTCATAGTATGCCAAATATAAATGGTAAAAATATCTGAAAAGCATTAAAAATTATGATACCTACCAGTACTCCCAAGAAAGTTCTTATTATTAATTATTACACATAAACCCATTTCAGGATAATCCATTTTGTAACTATTGTCCAAGGATATCCCAGAGTCCATTGATTTGCTTCCATGGAAGATCTTCCTGTTTGGAATTCAAACAATAATTTACAAAGGTAGGAATGACCAATGTTGTTCTCATTAGCACAACTTTATGACATATAGTAACATTTAACATTTATTGAACTTAATGTGCCAGACTGTGTCTTATAGGCTTTTCCTCACTTAAATTTTACAAAAAGCCACTTCAGAGCTGAGAAAATAACGTTCCTTAAGGCTAAGTAACATGCTGGCGGTAAACGCTCTATCAGTGTCAAGGATGAAAGCAGCCTTGGATTTCAGAGTTTAGTCTTTTACTATCTCAGGTTTATGTCTTCCTCTTTTAAAAAAAAATTCTTATGAGCGCAAAATATTTTATCCTTCAAGGTAAGAATAATCTTAAAATTTACCGTGGAGTGATAGGAAATCAACAAAGTGCAAATATGACTTAGAGCACAATATTTATTGTAATTCCCCAAATGTTCCTTAAATCCTATGAGCTAAGCAAATAAATGTATTACTACATAGACCCACCATTGTAAATAATTAAAAATATTTACCTGGAGATCTTAATAAAGTCTTTGTTATCTAGATGGGGGGTCAATAAACTTTCTTAAAAGGGCAAAATAATTAAGTATGTTAGGTTTATGGGCCATGTTTTCTGTTGCAGCTACCCCAGGAGGCAGGTGAAAAGGGTCCAGGCCAATATGCAAATGAATGAGTGCTGCTATGTTCCCAAGAAACTAGATTGCAGGCCTGATTCCTGATCCAGACCAAGAGCCAGGAAGCAACAGGTCTAGGAAAGCTAAACAGTAACATCTGAAGTCCCTGTACTTCTTCACCAGCTTGAGTATTTCACATTATACACACGTCTAAAAAATTATTGGAAAAAGGGCCTCCCCGGTGGCGCAGCGGTTGAGCGCTGGGTTGTGAAGCTGCCCGCAGCCTCTGCAGCACTGGTTTGATCCCCACTGCCAGGTGAGGGTCCCAAATGACGCACAGACCTCTCCTGCCGCCCGCTGCTCCCCTCAGCAGTGTACTTCGGTCCTTCTGCCTGTTCTGTTCCCCGCTCTGGCTCTGGTGAATTCTCTCACCCTCCCGCGCTTCTGACTGTACCCAGTGCTTGTATAAATAAATAAATAAATCTTTAAAAAAAAATTATTGGAAAAAGATTAAAATAGTAAATGAAAAAGTTAGAAGTGAACTATAATATTTAGTTAGAGCTCCACATTTTATAGATGGAAAATTAAAACTCTAGCAGCTGCGTGACTTGAGAAGGTCATACAGATAATGGAGCACAGAGATCTGCCCTCTCCAGAAGCCCATCCCACCACCTCCAGCTGAGGAGGTAGGTGCTGTGCTAGCAATGTTAGCTAGACTGGGAGGGGGCATATCTGATAGACAACAGAGACTCAAAAAGCTTGTGAATGTGAGGGTAAATTAAAGGATCTGTATATAAGAAGACAGGAAAATATATAAACCACTTTTAAAGAGTTTTTAGAAAGCCTCTGAGATTGCTTTACAAAATTAAATTTCTAGGAAAATTCCTTTGCAAAACAAACACTGCTAAATCTTTATTGGTAACCTGTTAATAGTATTGGTGTAATACTTTTGCCTAGAATTAAAATTAGTTTAATTGGGTGGGCCAAGATAATAATATTGAGTCTCAGAAATAAACTTTCTCAGAAATAAACCCATAATTAGTTTATCTTGGGTGGGCCAAGATAGTAATATTGAGTCTCAGAAATAAACTTTTAGAATTGAATGCATCACAAGAGACCACAAGTGAATGAAAACAGACGTGAAGACTTAAGAGTGTTTGAATTTTATCTTTTTCCTTTCTCTATCTCTGTGGTTATTGGAATCATTAACAAACAGAATATTCTGAAAAGAAGACAAGAGAAAACAAAGGGTAAACAATAACCCCTCAGTGGGTTATCTCAGAGAACTGGCACTTCATTTCCATCTTAAAACTCCTAAAGAGGAGGTCAAAAGCTCCATCAAATATACCTCTCCTCTTCCAGAGTGATTTGGGAAGCCACAGAAGCACCCAGACTCTGAGTCCTGCTTTCCTGTGGTGTCCTCCTGCTTCCTGGATGGCGTTTCAGACAATGGATCGAACACTTTACCTGGTCTTTGCCTCAGTCCTCCTCACGGTTTCATGGAAGTGTTATCACTTCTAATTTATTTATTTTTTATTTTTATTTTATTTTATTTTATTTTTTTTAAGATTTATTTTTATTTACTTATACAAGCACTGGGTACAGTCAGAAGCGCGGGAGGGTGAGAAAATTCACCAGAGTCAGAGCGGGGAGCAGAGCAGGCAGAAGGACCGAAGTACACTGCTGAGGGGAGCAGCGGGCGGCAGGAGAGGTCTGCGCGCCATGTGGGACCCTCCTCCGGTGGCCGGGGAGCAGCCGGGGATCGAACCGATGCTGCAGAGGCTGCGGGCAGCTTCGCAACCCAGCGCTCAACCGCTGCGCCACCGGGGAGGCCCATCACTTCTAATTTAAAAACCAGATTCAGGAAGGGTAAGATAACATGTTTAAAACAGTCAGCTTGGTTTCTCTGGCTTGAAAGTCCATATTCTTTCTGCTACTCTGTTCCTCAGAGTCTGCTGTATTACCTACACTCATCTTCCCCTGATTATAAAGGATTCCATTTAAATACTCACATTTCTGAATTTTTAATGGATTTTGAATCCACTGAGTTTTCAGAGTACTCCATGGATACTTTTATAACTAGAATACAAAGAAAATAGAAGTTAATTAAGAAACCTGTCATTGTAAAACCACATATTAATTATTTCAATGGTTATTTCTCCAAATTAAAATTTAATACGGACATTTTCACATTAGCTTTCCCTTCTTTCCTTGGCTTCATGAACTCTGTTGTTAAAGTTTCTGTGAGTTAAACCCAGAATAATAATCCTTAGCAGTGAAGGTATGTATAATGTAGCCCATGTCTCGCTCTCATTTCCTTCTTTTTTAAATTGAGTTCTGAAGTACACAAGACACTTACAACTTTGGTTATATTTGATTACAAGTTCTTATAATCAAGGCAGGTACCACTTACTAAGTGGTTATTATATATCAGGTGCTGTGCTAGGCATGTCTATCTTTTCTTTCTCCAGCAGTTCTAAAAGTTGGAAAACAGAGCTAAATAATGAAAATCTTTTCCTTGCACTCTGCTGCCTCTGAAAAAGCCAGCTTCTTACTAATTGTCTTTTGAGGTTCTACCATCTCTCTTCTAGCTTTCCAGAAACAAAGGAATGCATCGTGGCAATCTGCAATCCCCAAAATAGAGGAGAGAGGGAAAAAAAGGGGTGTGTGTGATTTTTGACTTTCTCTAGTCTCTAGAAATCCTGGCTATTTCAAAACTTCTAATTAAAATGCAACTTCAACCTAACTTTCTATGTATGCTAAAGTCAGAAATCTTAAAAGAATATATACCACACACCAACAGGACTTGCTTAACTACAAAAGTCATTTTAAATTTAAACTTTAAAAGTCACAGTAAGATATACTATATATAAATTTATATATAATATAAATTTCATATATATGAAATTTATCATATTAGCCCTTTTTAAGTGTACAATTCAGTGACCTTAAGTACAGTCACACCTCTGTGCACTCATCACCAGGACATTTTTATCTTCTTAAACTGAAACTCCCTACTAAGTTCCCCTTCCCAGATCTACAAGGTTTCCTGGCAAAATATAATCTTTCCCTTCTCTGAAGCTAAGTTCCTTTCTCCCTTGCTGGAGTGGTGGGTGCACCTATATCAGGAAAAGATGAAGAGAACATGGAGAAAAGGAAGTATCATCCCAGCAGAGGGCAGTGTTTGGTCTTCTCCCAAAGCCACTATGTTGCATGTCTACAAAGGCTCTTTGCTCTCTGCCATCTACTTCCTGTAGGTGCTCTTAAAAAAAAAAAACAAAAAAAAAACCAAAGAGGATAATGGGTACAACTGGGATGAACCTTTTTAGTCAATAAGCAAATATTCAGTGAGCACATGGTTGTGCCAGGTACCAGTCTAACCACTAGAAAAAGGGTGGAAGAGAATACAAAGTCCTACTTTCAAGAAGCTTCTGTTCTAGAGAGGAAAAATACCTACAGTTGACAGTAAGACTGCCGAGAGATAGGTGCTAGTAAGAAAATAAAATAGGGTCCTTCCTGGTGGCACAAGTGGTTAAGTCTCAGCATTATCAAGCTATCAGCAGCCACTGCCGCACTAGTTCAATCCCCAGCCAGGGAGATAACCCACATCCCACATGGCTCATTAGGCCTCTCCTGTCTTGCCTGCTGCTCCCCTTAGCAGTGTATTTCAGTCAATCCACCTGTTCTGTTCCCCACTCTGTCTCTGGTGAATCCTCTCACCCTGCCCCCTACCCCCCACACCTCTGGACTGCACCCCAGTTCTTGTATGCATAAATAAATTAAAAAAGAAAGAAAGAAAAGAAAATAGGGTAAAAGTAACAGGGAGTAGGAGCTACTTGACCTCGAGGGGTGGGAAAGCCCTCTGGGAGGTGATTAGATTTACACTAAATGACACGCAGAAGCTAGCAATAGAGGCTGCCTTTGCTACGGAAAGGAACGAAAGCCCTGAGTGAGTCTGGTATATTCATGTTGCAGAAAGAAGACCAGTTGAACTAGAGCATGATAGTGCTCTACCAGAAGGGAAGGGAAGGAGTTACGAAGATCATGCATAAGACAGTATGTTAGTTAAAATACACATAAGAAAAAGACCAAAACTAATTGTAAAGCATCTTTACATAGCCACTTTGTGTGTGTGTGTGTGTGTGTGTGTGTGTGTGTGTGTGTGTGAACAGTGGCTACCTCTGCATGATGGGATTATGGGCAATTCGTTTACTCTGTGCTTGCCAATTTCAACTCTCAGCTTTGTTTCAAGAGTCACAAAAATAGAGTTTTCTACTACTATGAAAATAGCACCCCTTTCTTGACTGCTCAGTACCATGTTCCACTCTATCTGCCTTTCCCGTTTTTGTCATAGATACAATAAACATGCATTAGGTACATGGAAATCTCAAATTTCCTTGAACCATAAATATCAGAGACCAACTGGCCCCTATGCATGCCAATTCTAAGTGAGAAGACCACACACGTCTTCATCCATGGATGAGAAACAAGTTTGTGGTTAATTTAATTGAGAGAACACTATAAAGAGCAGATGAGATTTCTGGAAACATATATAAATAGATGATGGTATACAAAATGTTTTATTGATACTACATTACAAACCATGAAAAAGTATTATGTATGTTTCAATATGTTGCAGCCAGCTTGTAGGAAACCTGGAGTGAAAACTTGATAAAGAGAATAATTTCTGAAGCTGAACCTGGAGATATTCCCTTTTTGGTCCAATGGTTTAAGTTAAAATCGTCCCTTTGAATGAGTTTGCCAAATGCCAGGTATATAGAATGTGTTCAGAAACCCTGAAATACTGACAGGTCCCGAAGATGGCAAGGCCCAAAGATCTCTTGTCAAACCCTTCTGAAAACCTGTCCATAATTCCTAGACTGAAATACTAACTTCTAACAGCCCTTTATCTCTTGCCAACAATAAAGCTATCTGCCCAACTGGTTCATCCTTATGACTGGTAATAGAACATTTAGATTTAAACAGTGACCAGCTTTCCAGAGTTCTACAGTGTTTATTTGGCTTCTTGGTTCATACCAAGGTAAGATTTCATCTAAACATTAGGTAAATTTTAAGTAATCATTTCCTTTTCATACATTAAATCAACTTTCTTTAACCAAAAGTTTCAGATCAGCTGAAACATGAATAATTATTAATTTGATCATTTCTGATATTAGACATGAGGTAAGAATCTATTTCAGTAGAGTAGTTGGCACAAAGGAAAAAAACCATGAATTCTTTTAGAATAGGATTTAAAGTTAAAGTGCTTACTATTTGATAAGTATTTCTCAGAAACAAATACTACAATGTATTTGGTTTCCTTCATTATTGATATCTGAATATTATATATTGCAGTGGTATTAGCTGACTTTCATGTACTATTAAAATTTATATAATGGTAAGTAAAATCTCAGAGTATCAAACGTGTACATTTACATCTACTTGTGACCATCTGCTTTTTCCATATGAAAGCACCAAAACCACTCTTGGGAACATTTGTGGTTCTTGCAGGACTTACTAAAGTGTTACAGTTAGCATTACCTCACCATCTATTAGCTAACGCCTCCCTGAATATAAATTATTCTGGAGATGGTGATCTCATCCTGGGAGGATAAAAAATTATATCCCAAGGGAAATATTTACTGTCCTAAATGATAGAGAGTTTCAGTTTTTAGAACATTTTCATTTGACAAAACATATAGGGACAATTTACAAGAGGGGTGCAGAGTCGTTGAAGTAGCATAAAGTACACTTACTCTAATTAATGCAGAAAATAAGTACTCTTCACCTATTTTGGCTCTTGTTCTGATGTTTATGGTGTTTCTGATGCCACTAGGTAATTTGCTTCTAAAAGTAAAATAACTGGTTTCATGCGAAGCATTCAGCAGAAGATGTCTTTTTTCTACCTGTCATTAAAGGAAAGATAAAGCCTTTCCAGTGTGACCATCAAAGAATTACCTATTAGAGAAGTCAAAGTATCAAAGGCATTTCACAATTCCAGATTTAATAAGTGAAACAGAAAGAACATACTTTTTACAATAGTTTGGATAAGATAAGATTTCTGCTGTAATGTACTAGAGGTTTTATTGACATCATTTCCCATCTCATCTCTGAATGTCTTCTGGATATAGTCATTGGGCCTGGTAAAGTCAATCTTTAAATATTCATTTTGTAATTAAGGAAAACATGTGAACATCAAGTAAAATCAAATATATAAGTCCAGCTGTGCCATGTGGACAAATAAAACCATTCTTTCCTCTTCTCTGGGAAGGGCCACGTGGTCAGGAAGACAGAATGGAATGTTCGCCAATATTTAAAGCCATAAGCCAGAAAGTGCACAGTACATACTAAGGGCAAGACATTTGTCTCTGGCTCCACATGGTCATTAGATGATTTTTGGAGGAACAAAGGAGAAATGGAAAAGTTCCTGCAGACCTGATATTTTATAGGAAATAAATGTACAATGAAGAATCTTGGATGCCTTTTATGAAAATTACAGGTAAGGCCTCCTCCTTCCTGAGAATCACCTTCAGGTTTACAACCATGGGATTTAAAGAAAGTATGCCTACAAAAGGTTTGGAACTGCTCAATGTCAGAGTCAACGGTATGTCTTCAACTGTCATGTGTACCATAATTCACTGAACAACAACTGTATTAGACCCTGAGTGCATGAAGGGAAGAGACAAAGCTCTACCCCCAAGTGGGGTTTACATGATGATCACTGGTATTCAAAAGTGACACAAGGCAGATGACAAAGTTCAGTGTGCTTATCTGATGACTTTTAGTCTACTCTAGGGCAATTCAGGAGCTTCACAATGAAATAACTAACAACAAATAGAGACTTACACTTACAAAACAGGCTACAAACATCATCTCCTTTGATCCTCCAGATAATTATGCCTAATTTATGGAGGAGCCAGTAAGGGTTCCCTTTGGCGCTGGGCCTCAGGTTGTCAGACCACAGAGGATCTTTCCCTCTACTATATTTGGGTTTTGTTAAATGTGTACAAAACAGTATCTACTACTCTCTGAAGGCTTGCATTTGTTTAGACCCAGACATCAGTGCTTCCCATCTCTCCATCAAGCTTAAAAAACTATCTAATACTAGGCATCAGGATACATTTAATGCCATTCATGAAAACAAAGACTACTTTGTAACTCTAAAAGGGGGCTGAAGCAGTAGGAGATAATGTTAAATTAGGTTCAAAAGCAAAACAGTAAAGAAGTAAGGTCATTGTCTGAATCAGATAAGATGACAGGCTCTTTAAAGCCTTTTTTCAGGAAGGCAAAAGCAAATGTGCTCTAACTAGGTACATTTCACTTCTTTTACTGTCAACAGGTTTTATTGCTGACACCCTAATAAGTTGCTCATTCATTTGGAACTGATTTTGCGAAAAATGAAATCGAAAGCAAATCTTAAACTTCAGGTTGTGACAGGGATGATCTGAACTTCATATTTCATTATTAGAGATCACGCAACTGCAATACATTCAAGTGGCTGAGTGCATTTTGACACAGGCTGGTCTAATCACCTCAGCTTAGCACTTCCTACCACTTACTATCTTGCACTTTCACATTGTGACAATAACTTCCTATTTCATGTCTATCATTCCTTTCTTTTTTTTCCACATCATTCCTTTCTGATCAACATCTTTTAATTATAATTTGCTAAATAATAAAAAAATCTTTTTCTAGATAGGGCACAATTATTAAAAAGCATTTTTAGTACTATAGTACAGGCATTTACTTGTGCTAGGCCCTGGATAACGGGGTAAGCCATTGAGGAACAATAAAATACAGTTTCCCATGGAATTTGCTTAGATTCTAGAAGGAAATAAAGTAAACAAGCTGCTGCAAAGGATATGACATTTCCCTCTTAGAAAATGCCAGCTACAAAAGGAACACATAATAGGGAGACTTAAGTGTTACCATGACAAGTTCTTCAAGCAGAGGTGATTGTGAGGGAGCAGAGGGAGATTGCAAGACTAAACCTGATCTCAGAGAATGTTATTCACTAGGGCTGTACAGAAAGTGAAATGGTGCTATGCTAAAAGACAAGGCAAAAAGATAAGGCAGAGATAAGGCTTGGTTGCCAAGAAAAGGGGCTGGAGTAATCAACTTGAGATCAGTTAGAATTAACCCTAAGGACAAAGGAAGGGCTTTCTGGGCTTATTTTGTAAAGCTCCCTCAGCCTGTTCTGTGAAGAATCCACGGAGGGGCAAGCTGTCTGTAAGTAGGGAGGCCACTGATGTGCTGCTGCAGAGAGGTGAGTGCTAGGGTGGCTTGGTTCGAGGGAGAGGAGTAAGACAAATCTGTGTCTAACTGGGGAGGGAGTGAGAAGAGCTGAGAAGGTTGGTTCCTATTTTCTGGGCTTAGGTGTCACTTATAAAGAAGGAGGGGGCGCAGCTGGCTGAGTGACAGAGAAAGACATGGTCTGAGGGATTTCAAAGCATCCTAGCCACAGTCATAGCGCAGGCTGGAAAGATCCATGGCCTTAAGGCCTGAAAAGGAACAGCAGTTCAATGTTTGAAATGCTCTCTCTGGAAAAACAAACCACACAGTCAACCCGAGAGTATCTAGGCCCGACACAGAGCAGGCAGCAGCTGCATCCAAAGCAGGAGGATGTGCCCCGGGGCCAGCGCGTCCCGGCAGCCTCCACACCTGCAGGGCCACGTTTCCCCACCTCGCCCTTCCCGACTCGACTCGGCCTGCGTTCCGCGGCCCCGACCCCAGCGCCCGCCGTCCCCACCGCCGGCCCCCGCCTCCTGCTCCCGGCCCGGAGCCCCCCCGGACCCGGGCTCGGTCCCCGCCTCAGCCTCCCGCTGCCCGGGCTCGGCTTCTCAGGTCGAGTTTCCCGCTCCGCGGGCGCGGCCTCCCGAGCCAGGTCTCGGCTCCCGGGCCACCCCCGGCCCGCGGGCTTCGGGGCTCCACCCGCACGCGCCGTCGTGGCAAAACAAAGGACCCGCCGCCCGGGCCAGGCCGTCTGCTCCGCCTCCCCCGAGCAGCCGCGGGCCGGGGCAGGCGCCCGGGGCAGCGCTGGGCTGGGAGGAGAGCAGCAGCAGGTCTGGGGGTGATGGCACGCGAGAAGGCGCGGAGGTGGCACTCACCGCAGACTCCGCACTGCAGACCCGCTCCCGCCGCGCTCCGCGCCCGAGCTCGCGCCGCCCGCCGCGGGGTAGAAGAGCTCGGCGGGGGCTGGCCTGGCCCAAGCCCCGCCCCGGCCCAAGCCCCGCCCCAGTACAAGCCCCGCCCCCGGTCCAAGCCCCGCCTCCTCCCGCCGCAGAGGTAGGTGAGCTGGGCGGGGGCTGGCCCGCCCCAATCCCCGCCCCCGGCCCAAGCCCCGCCTCCTCCCGCCGCCGGGGTAGGTGAGCTCGGCGGGAGCTGGCCCTCCCGAAGCCCCGCCCCCTCCCAGAAGCCCCGCCCAGCCCCGCCTCCTGATGGGCCCACCCGCGGCGGCGTCGCAGCGTCCCTCCAGTCCCGCCCCGCCCAACGCCCCGCCCCACGCCCCGCTCTACTCCCCGCCCCACTTCCCGCCCCGCTTCCATCTGCCGCTGCGTCCCTCCAGCCCCGCCCCGCGCCGTCAGAAGCGCGGCTCCAGCCCTGGCCCCGCCCCCCGAGCGCCGAGGGCCCCAGGCGGCTTCCTTATAGGCCCCGCGCGCTCCGCGCCGTCGCGCCGCGTCACGCTCCGGCCCCGCCCCCGCGCTCGATTTGAAGCCGGCGTCTGGCCGCCCCGTCCCCGCCGCCCGGAGCTGAAAACGCGCGGGCTTCCGCCCGGGGCGGGGGATTGTGGGGTGTACCCGCCGGCAGGCCGCAGGCCACGGCGCGCCCCAGGGGCGGGAAGAGGAGTCAGGGGTGGCCTGAGGGCTAGTCCGAGCTCCGGGAGGGCGAGGAGCGAGGAGCAGGCCGCGGCGCCGAGTGGGCCGCAGGCCTCACGTCCTGCCAGCCCTTCCCCGAGGTAGAGCCGGGGGTGCTGCTGTCCAGCGGCTTTTGTTTGGGGGTGGCGCGCCTTTCAGACGCTCTTGCTGAGTCGTTGGCAGAGGCGAGCCCCGACCCTGGCGCGCACAGTTCAGCGGCTGGTCGCCAGGGGAGCTGCCCTGTTCCCCGCCCAGAAGCATCTGCCTTGAACCAGCGCCCGGGGACGGGGAGGCTGAGCCGAGCCGCCAGGTGAAGCTCTGTAAAGTGCAAGGCAAGTGGACTAACGGGCGAGCTTTCTCCTGCTCTAGGCTGGCACCCTCCTACTGCCGAGGTGGAGACAAGTAAGGACACTTGAAGATAGGTGAGGAGGCTGGCAGGGACAGCATTGTCTTGGTGTAGCACCCCTTTCCTAAGGCTCCCTGCCAGAAGGTGCCTTAGACTTGTGGCAAGCTTTCAGGCCAACTCAGTTTGGCTGGATTGGGGGAGGGTGGGGGAGGGGATTGGTTATTTTAGGTGTTTCATTGGGAAACTCGTATTAGAAACTTCTCTCTGCACACTAATTTTGTTAAAGATCTAATACACTGAGTATGCTTCATTTCCCTTGGGCATAGGGATGGCCAGATTGCCTTTAGAAGGAGCACGTTTGGGGGGGGGGTCCCTGAGTACCCCTGTCATGCCCTTAAAACATTTTCAACCGGGTCCTGACATTCTGAGAATAAGTCAGAGACTTATTGTTAAGAATTAGCTCGCGGGCAACAGTTTTGCCTGTTGAGGTATAAACCAATCCTCAATCCTGTGAGGATTGTAGAAAGGGTGAACTGGAAAAGAACAATGTGTCACCATTTTCTTAGCCCTTAAAAGAGATTTTTGAGAAATTTAAATATGAACTACTTCTATTCAGGCATTTACAGGCAAAATGACTGAAATGGGGGAAAATTAGTATATTTAATTTCTTAAGGTGTTACACATCTGGGAAATAAAGTATAATATTTAGTAATTAACATGCATAGTTATAGTTGACCGCAAACAAAAAGCTCTCAGCTATTCCTCCAGCGACATGAGTTTATTTGGAAACAACAACAAAAAGGCAATTTGGCAAATAAAACCTCATGCCCAGGCACAGGAACCCTTCCTTAGAACTAAAGCCAATGCCCCCACTTTCCTGATGGGGCAGGGAAGCAAGATCACTTCTCAGGAATGCAAGGCATGTAGTTTGCTGATTCCAGTACACTCTGTTAGCCTGCAGACCTTAATTAAAAAGGGCTTCTGCATGTTAATTTATTTTTTTTAAAGATTTATTTATGTGTACAAGAGCTGGGGTACAGGCCAGAGATGTGGGGGGTGGGAGAATTCACTAGAGCCAGAGCATGGAACAGAACTGGCAGACTGACGAAATACACTGATGAGGGGAGCAATATACTGATGAGGGGAGTTGGGGGCGAGACAGGAGAGGTCTGTTGCGCCATGTGGGTTGCTCCTTGGTCAGCTGGGGATCGAACTCATGCTGCAGAGGCTGTGGATTGCTTCATAGTGTTTTAACCCCTTGTGCCACCAGGGAGGCCCTGTATGTTAATTTTAAAATACACACACACACGCACACGCATGTACGCACACTAGCATTTGTTGAGTACTTATCCTGTGCTCTTAGATCTTCCCAATACTTTTTTTTTTAATTCTTTCAATAACCCTGTATGTAGGAATTCCAACCCCAACCTGAGCTTAAAAAGGTTAAATAGTTTGTTTTTTGCTAAAAGAGTCATCACTGGAGTTAAACTTGGATCCCAGGAATACAATTCGGGCCTTTTCTTCATCCCTCCCAAATTGAAAGACGCCCAATGGTGGCTGTCCTTTTCTTGTTAAAAAAAACCTGAAGAGGACCCACTCTTAATCTCACCGGTGTGGTTCAGCGCTGCAGGTATTCGCAAGGAAGGCATTGGCATTATCATCCTTACCCCAGGGTGATACCCAACACCCCACCCCCCAGCTAACTGGCCTAGGAAATGCTAAAGCATTGACAGTTTTCTGCTTTACTAATTGATTTTCTAGAGAAACTTTAATTACAGCAAACCAGCTGACGGAAATGTCTTCTGACTCTAGTAATTTCCTTTTCACAGAAGTGGCAGAACTTGATCTGGGCTTTGAAGGGGAAGAATTTGGGGAAGTCCTTCCAGGTGAGAAAAATAAGCAGGAGAGCATTTGGCTTGGAGGGGCAGGGGTCAGTCGTTAGCATTCATTGGTGAGAGACTGAACAATAAGGGTAAGAGATTTGAGGTGGATTCTGGAGAGAGTTTGGGCTTGTGGTAAACTATAGTGCGAATTGAGCGATGCTCTGAGTGGGTAATGAGTGGCCCTATGAAAATGATTGTAAAGGTAATTGGTCTGGCCGGATTATGCTGTTTGGATGGAAGCTTCTGTGAGGATTGTAGAAAGGGTGAACTGGAAAAGAACAATATGTCACCGTTTTCTTAGCCCTTAAAAGAGATTTTTGAGAGATTTAAATATGAACTACTTCTATTCAGGCATTTACAGGCAAAATGATCAAAATGGGGAAAAATTAGTATATTTAATTTCTTAAGGTGTTACACATCTGGGAAATAAAGTATAATATTGCAAATGAATTTTAATCATATACTTTATTATGAATACCTTAGCAGTGGGAGAAATAGTGTAAATGTACTCCAAAAAGAAGCCATAAAAAGAATCATATTAAGGAAATATTGCCAAATAGTAGAACAGTACTGACTAGAACTAGCACATGTATGCTAAAATACAAACTACTTCAGTCTTAAAGCAGAGGGAGAAGTTGGAATTGGGAACCAGCCAAATAAGGAAACTAGGACTAGGCTAGGGAGAATCATGGCATGGCAGTGAAGGCAGTGTTCTTGAAGCATCATGCCTCTGGAAACGGGGCCATCATGTGGCATGGCTGGGCAAATCCAGATAGAAACATAGTCAGAACTACCTAGGTTGACCTTCTGAGTAATCTGTTCACCTCCATCCGGTCCCTTCTCACACTACCATTAAACTAAAAGCACTAAGCCAGCTGCTTTTGTAGCCTGGTCATCCTTAGTTGTAAAATCAGTATCAAACATGGTTTAAACATTCCAGTGCATTGTTAAAAAATAACGCTTTCATGCCTACTATTTAAAAATATAATAATTACTTTTCTTTGGAATTTGGGAAATGTTAACAACAGTGTGGTTCCTGTGTGAATAAACGTTTTGCAATTTTAGGAAAGAAAGCAGCACTCTTTCTATACCAGGAATTAAAAGCATTTCTAATATGGTAACATTCTCCCAGAGGGTGGGGATAAGGAATATGATCGTCTAAAGCCAGACTGTGGATGCCTTCCTCGTCTCCATTTCCTCTGCCTTTGTCATCCAGCCCTGCTGCTCAAATAGTCCAGGCCCCAGTTGTCTTCCATCCCTCAACACAGCTGGTAAAATTTTCAAGCTGTGCCAAGCAAAGGAGGGCATAATATATTCTGAACTTTTTTCTCTGTTGACTCATGGTTTACTCCTCCCAGTAAGTATTAAACTGGGTTTTCATTGTGACTGCATAACTGTATTTTTAATTTTTTAAATTTTTTTTGAAAAAGATTTATTTTTAGGGCCTCCCTAGTGGCAGAGTGGTTAAATCTCAGCGCTATCAAGCTATCCGCAGCTACTGCAGCACGAGTTTGAGCCCCAGCCAGGGAGGTGACCCACATGGCGCAGCAGACCTCTCCTGTCTTGCCTGCTGCTCCCCTCAGCAGTGCATTTCAGTGGATCTGTCTGTTCTGTTCCCCACTCTGTCTCTGCTGAATCCTCTCACCCCCCACACCTCTTATTTTTATTATGCATATAAGAACTGGGGTGCAGGCCCGAAGTGCGGGGAGCAGGGGGGCTGTGGATAGCTTGATAGCGCTGAGACTTAACCCCTGTACCACCGGGGAGGTCCCCTGTGACTTCATGACTTTCATGTATAACACACTTTCATGTATGACCAAGCACCCCTTTGGTCATATCAGTAACTTTACAAATGAAAAAATTTTGTCAGTGTCACTAGGTATCAACATCCAACCCCAAAACTTAATAGCAACCAAAAAAAGCCCAAATTTATTTTCTCTTACATTTTGGTGGAGTGAATGACTGTTTCTTCACTTGAACTTACTTGGGCTTACTCATACTTTGAATTTGGATGATGACTAGATGATCTAAAACGTCTTAACTCATCTATCTGAGCGTTGATGCTGGCTCATGGTTGGGGTACTTTGATTTC